GTATATGTATATGTATATGTATATGTATATGTATATGTATATGTATATGTATATGTATATGTATATGTATATGTATATGTATATGTATATGTATATGTATATGTACATGTATATGTATATGTATATGTATATGTATATGTATATGTATATGTATATGTATATGTATATGTACATGTATATGTATATGTACATGTGTATGTATATGTACATGTATATGTATATGTACATGTACATGTACATGTACATGTATATGTATATGTATATGTATATGTATATGTATATGTACATATTCGCATTCACAGGTGCACGCACGGACAAATGTACCGGCGCACGCGCGCATACGTACACACGCGTACAAACAGCTGACCCGCACGCCTTACACACACATAGCGTACATAATAAATATTGAAATGGTCTATCTTTGAAGTTTGTGCTTACTAAATCATACAATCAAATTTCGCGTTCTTTGTGTCTATTTCAATTTCAGGCTTTTCTTGCGCATCATGCGGTAAGATTTATCATAAAACTTATTGACTTTCAAACAGACCAATTGCAAAAGATGTGGTATACGGCTTTGCCCTGCCTACACATCATATACATCTTGTTGTCACTCGTACCTAATTGAGCCTGCAAAAATGATTAAATTAGTTCTTTTAAAAATCTAAAATCTTTTAATGTCATTTACATTGCTAAAAGATAATGAAATACTTTGCGAACCGTATAAATCTGTGTTCGGCGGTAATGTTGCGATATTACCGTGCCTAATTAATCGTAGCAATTCAATTCAATTCAATTCAAAAAATATATTTATCACCATAATTTGCAAAAATACAAGGATGCAGAGAACATTATTTTGAAGGGTGAAGGGGTAGCGAAAGACCATAGGGTCATTAACTCAGCTATCCCTCTATATGTACAGTAGACATAATATGGAGCGCCAGATATTCGCTGTATTGCAAATGAGGAAAAGTTGAAATAAATTTGCAAATAAAAGTAAAGTAAAGGTGCAGTATATACAGTGATAACATACAAGAGCAGTAATCAGTTGACAGTACTGTAGGATACAATAAATAAATTTGTAAAGAAGAAGATATATGAGTTTGATAACTTCATATCGTAAGTGATTTAAATGCAGCGATACAGTACAAGCACAATACTGCACTAACTCACATGTACAATAACAGAGATAACAAGTACATTGAGATTATAGTATGTCAGATTACAGTACTTGGTTGGAGTAGATTAAGATCAATTCACATCTTGGGTGCAGTATATACAGTTTTACAGTACAGGCATCAAAATACTATACTAATTCAATATACGCATATATACAAGCGGTAATAATAAGTACATTCCGCAAGAAGCTAGTTATTGCCTGAGAATCACCGAATAGTCGCTAAGTTAAGCAAGAGATTTTTTAGTATTTATGAGTCCATGCAAATGAAATAAAAATAAAGAATATATCAATAATATAACAGAAATAGATGTAAAAAAAAAGAGAACGATAACAACTCTGCTCATCAAAGTGTTACATCACAAGGTAAATCACAGAAATAATAAATACTGATGTTCGGAATTTAATAGAAATAAAAATAAGCAGGTTTGATACATATAATATATACATAATAATAATAATACATATAGTTAATATATTACAGTATAAATTAATGGTAGCTACGCAAGTAGAACATAAATGAATCTGTTCAGTGCAAGATATATTTGTTACAAGGTTTACAATTGGTTACAATTAGTTAAAAGGTGTGTGTTGGTTTGGGTATATACTAAATAATAATATGTGTTTATGTACAATAATAGTTTGACAGTAAGGGGGTGTTTATATTTATATTTTAGTTGTTTCAGAGAGCAGCTGGTGAATTCCGGAGTAAGTTCATTCCATAACTTCGCTCCTTGGAATTTGATTGTGTTCGAGCCATAAGCTGTCATAACTCTGTCTATAAAATAGTTTTGGCCTGCTGCGCCTCTTGTGATATGGTCATGGACGTCCGATAGTTTAGTAAAGTATGTGCTAAATAGTACCGGTAGCATGCCGTGTTTATATTTGTACATGAATAATATAAGTTCATACTTGTGTAGGTTCGATAATTTCAATATTTTAAGGGAGGCGAATGAAGGGGTTGCATGATCCCTAAAGTTGGCAAATGTGATGAGTTTAGCTACCGTGTTATGAGTGGTAGTTAATGGTTCAAGTGTAGTGATATTAGCATTGCCCCATGTTAGAATTCCGTATTGTAAGTAAGGGTAGATTAGGGCATAGTATAGTAATTTTAACGTCGAGGTGTCTACATAGTGTTTGATTTTTGAAATATTTGAAAGCCTTTAGTTTTGGTGATTTTATATGTGATATGTTTAATATGGGTATCCCATCTAAGTTGGTTATCTAGGTACAGACCTAGATATTTTATACTGTTTTCTTGTTTTATTTTATGCGAGTCCATACTAAGTTTAAAGTTTTGTATTGCTTGTTTCTGTGTTTTGTTGCATATGATCATATATTTTTATTTTTTTTGTAGTTAACTGATAGTCTGTTTGATTTTAACCATGCATCTACTTTAGCTATCTCTTGGTTAACCATTGTTTGAAGATGGTGAGGGCTTGTGTTTGTGTGTGTGTATGTGTGTGTGTGCGTGTGTTTGTGTAGAAATCCCCGCACTTACCCGATTAGGAATAATTAGGTATAAATACATCGTTACTACATCATTTAGTTGCTTTATGCATAATATTAAATATTAAAGCGGAACTGGAATGAACTCTATAGTAGATCGTAAATCGTAAAATAATCCCCTTCATCTTTACGCCTGAGTTGAACCCGAGTTTCTGTTGACCACGTGATTCGGACAGACTTATCGGGCATGCGCCCGTATGCGGACATCTGTCTGTGTGTGTGTGTGTGTGTGTGTGTGTGTGTGTGTGTGTGTGTGTGACATTATTTAAATACGTGAATTTACTTGCTGAAAATACACTACCTTTGGATCAAGATGATATCGATGTCTGTTCATGTACAGCCGGAAAGCTTCGCTGCTTTTAAAATCAGATAGTTTTGACTCTTGAAGACTTGTTGGCCACAGTTTTACCTGTAAGATAATGCTTACAAATTCATGAAATGAGGACAGTGTTCATTTCATTTTGAACCCTACGTTTTATATTACCTGTAACTCTTGCGCAATTTTGTTATATGTACGAATTTTAACTTTTAGTGTTTCTTTCGATTACAATGATTGACTTCTAGTTCTTGCAAAAAAACACCAAATTCTGTTCCCTTTATACTAGTAAATAATTGAAAAGAATAAGATATGTTTCTTAAAAATAGTTGTGTAGAATAGCACATTCACCAAATCAGTTTCTCTCACGAGACATGCATATGCGCGCAAGCGCTACCCACTTACTCTCCTGTACACATTCTGAAAAGAACATACCTACGCATACACGAGACATTGCGAGAAATATTTGACTAGTATTATTTGAATAGACTTGAGACGATAACTTCCGGCAGTAATTTGTACATCTTTACCTTGTCCATTAAAGCGTCAGTTTGGCGATACACAGCAAAGAGAATTTTCTGAACAGTTCTAGCGCCTCTGCTGCTTACGTAGAGTGATGTTGCTCCTCGTTCTATTTGCAATCCGTGAATTAATCCGCCAACCTTAGAAAACAATATAAATAATTACAACATTGTTCGTGTTTGAAAGATCCAGGAGTAATTTAAGAAGAACAAACAATTAAATTAAGAGATTTGAAAATAGCATGCTTATCATAACGCCGGTAAGTTAGTAGGGGTTCTCAGCGCGATATGTGTTTAACCAACTGATGAGAAAATCTTATATTTGCAATAGTATTATTATTATATATTACATTGTCCCTCTGCTCATTTCTTCCTGGTTTTCTACGCGAGGCACAAGCTAGTACTAACCCCAAGCAAATTAACTGGTTAAACTTAGATCTTATCAGTATAATCAGGAGTAGATAATAGAAGCTTCTATTATCTACTCCTGGTATAATCAATGCGGATCTCGCCAGTGTTATGCTACGCGGCATTCGTACAATGAAACGTACGGTGTCCAACATACATTCTCGTATTCCGAGAAGAAATCAGGATGTCGTACGACAGAGGAACTAGCGCCTATAGCATTTCAGGCACTGTGCCTAATGTATGTAAAAGAAAACACGGTCGTCTGCCACGGACACGCGGCGGGGGGTCGCGGATTTCACACCCTATGCTTGTTCACTGAGGTGCGTAATGGTTCGGTGCAGTGAATGAAATGGTTCTCGTGATATCTGATAATGAAGCAATAAAGGGCACGCCTAGTTCAAGTTAAATTTTCTACGCAATTCTCGCGTGTCGTTGTGTGTAAACGCGGAGAGCTTTACGATAATTTATAAAAATTAGGTTCATCATTTCGTTGACGACGACAATGATCTAGCGAGAGGCGTATAATGGCGCTCGACTGTAATGCGTCTACTTAAAAAGACATGCACCATTTCTACACAAAACGCGCTTAACCGGCTAACTTTGAACTGGTGATATTAGGTGCATTTAAGGTGATGATACCCACACGGATCTGCTAAAGAGAAAACCCCCATGATACGCACGTCCGAGGCTATTCTCTCGCGCCCGTAGTCCTGCAACGCACTTGACATTCGCGCTTTGTTCGGCGTAGTAGGTGCGGGAGCTGCCAATTATTATCCTAAATCACGGCCATTTAACGGCAATTCGAGTGTGCATGAAGCGAATATTTACGGCTTGAAATATCGCAGCCCGGAGATAACCGAGCCACACTAATTGCTGTCCGACGGTCACGAGTTGCTATTTATTGGCAGTCGTGCCCCGCTGACCGTCAGAGCTGCTTCTATATATATATATATCAGGAGTAGATAATAGGGAATCCCTAAGGAATTATCTAGGGAATCCCAATTATCTACTCCTGATATATATATATATATAAGTGTGGAACGTGCTGGGAAACATAAACAACTAGACAGAGGGCACTCACGGAGAGTGCATACCTCCGCCAGCGACATAGCTCGTAGCAGCCGCTCGTTGCTGCTGCTCGCTCACATGTACACGCTCGCTGCGCTGGCTGGCTCGCTCGCTGACGCGCTAATATCGATCGCGCGAACACACACACACGCTAATACACACACACGCTAGAACACGAACACACTAACGCACGAGAGCGATCACATAACCTCCTCCACTCCGTGGGCGGAGGTAAATATTACCTGTTGAAATCAACTTTGCCCGCTGTTTTTACGTCAATATATCACAATATTTCATGTATTAAAATAATAAACTCAGAAATATTGATTTATCTGTAACATAGGCGATAATGTGTACATGTCACACAAAAATTATAAAATCTATCATCCAAAAAACACAGGTGTATATGTTTTGGTCATCACATATTCTAAGATATTGGAAGTATTTCACCTTATTTCGTCATGTAATCAAAGTACTAGCACGATTCTCGTTGATTTTGACGTTTGCTCGATTGCTACATGCTTTATTTTTTTTACATATTAATGGCTTATTATTGATGCTATGTCATGACAATTAAACAGTCTGTGCCATAATGAAGCTGCAAGCATCAAAGATTCTATTCATGTTTTTAGGCACGTTTCCGCGTTACCTGCATGAGTTACGTGACAGCCAATCATACTTTTTAGGTGACTAAGAAGCTTACGCACCCAAGCATCATCGGGGAAGATTTTTTAAACAGTAATCATGAAAAAATAAATGTCGCTCGTCGGTAGCTATCATTGTGGCATGACTCCGCTTCAGTGTATTTGCGCAGTAATGACGTTATTGCATTGGCTAGAGTCGCAGCGTGGATAATATTAAATCCTCGCTCGGTAACGCGTGTTCCAGTATCTACTAGAGCTATCAAACAGATTGCGTTGCTTAAGCCCTTACTAACCCACAATGACTTAATAACAGCTAATTCAGCCGTCATTTGTCCTTGCACAAAAGCGCACGCTACCTTGGAGATAGCAAATCCAGAATTTGCCATACACAGGTTTTCCAAACAAACCAGTCGACTGTGACATACAAGCTGTTCTGCAACCTCGCTACTCAGCAAACGCCGCCGAAAGACAGAAATGAAATTACCATCGCTGAGATAACCGAATACATGAAGAACTAGTTTGACCCCAAACTTAATTTCCGATCGGAGATGCAGCGGAAATCTGGTAAAACCATTTAAGAACTAGCAGCAAGCATCAGGCAAGATGCAGTTACGTGCGACGTCGCATCCATTAAATACCCTCTAGACGAGGCCATGCGCACACGCTTCATCTGTTTAGTTAACAATGAGGTCGTCTTAAAGGCGTTATTTAAGATCAAGGATGACGAACTGTCGTATGCTCGAGCAATCCAGGTCGCTATGGAAACTGAAGATGCGGCCAATGTAGCTAAGGAAACGGTGCATGGGATGCAGCCGAAGCTGGTCAATAAACTAGAAGTCACGCTCTTCGACGTCCGGGTCAAATGGAAGTCGATCGATTAACCAGGAACCCAGCTACACCAGCATTTTTCCAAAGGCAGCCTGTGGGCGTTGTGCCAGGTCTGACCACCTTAGAAAGGAACGCCCGCACCTTACCGCAATCTGCAATTTTTACCAACGGAAAGGGCACCTTCAGTCTGTCTGTCTTCAGAAGAAGAGATGCAACAAGCCAACGGTGAAGGCTATCTACAAGCAGAGACTCCAGACAGTGAAACTGCAGAGAAAAATCCCTGAACTCCTGCTCAGTCCTCTGCTGCAGCTCCTCCAGTCTCTCTGAATGGAAAGAATTTTGATTTTCAGATCAACACTGGTACGGGAAACAACTTTTGCTCGAGGAACGTCTGGAGAAGCCATGCCTACAGGGGTCAACAGGCCAATACAAGGGAGCTACAGGAACCAGCTGACGGTCATGGGAACGTTTACAGCGAATGCCAAACAGAACCACCGTGGAAACTCAGAAGGACGGAACATAAAGTTCACGGTGGCAGGCTCCCTTCGCGCAACCTGCTGGGTCGTGGGCAATATTTTTTTCATCGCCACCATGCTCTTCAACCGATTGAAGCCGTTCATCCCCATTGAAGCCAGAGCTTGTATGCTTAAAGGACTTTGAATTAGAAGTCAAATTTAAGTGGAATGCCAGGCACACATTCTGCAGGTTACGGCCAGTCACGTTTGCAATTCAAGAAGATCTCACACAAGCATATGACTCCGTCATCAGGAGGGGTGTGTGGAAGCCCGCACCAATTCAATGAAAGTGGCACACCCGTTGTTTTGATCATTAATGTGGTGCCACCAGGCGAGCAAAAACCAAAGCTGCGAGTCTGCGGAGGACTACTCCGTTACGGTAAACCCAAAATTAGAGATCGTCCGACACCCTATGCCTCTTCCCGAGGATCTCATGAGGAAACTTGTGGATGATACGGTTCCATTAAACTCGATCTGGCAGATGCATGCTTACAGCCAGATCAAGCTTGCTCCTGAAACCCAGATAAGACTGGCACCCCATCGAGGCGTACTATTTCAAATTCGGCTGCCATTCCGCATCACATCGGCACCGGTTTTTTTCAAAGAGATCATGGAGCTACTCACCAGCGATATACAGGGAGTGGCAGTCTACCTAGACGACTTTCGCGTCATCAGTGTCAATGCACAATTAAGAACATCTCCAAAATCTACGCACCTTGCTTCAACGCTTAGAAGAAAAAGGGATACGATGTCGAATGGGGAATGTTTATTCCGCAGCAGGTGCAGAGTACCTGGGCCACAAGCTTTCCCAAAACAGGATTGCTAATGAGGCTAAGGTCAACGCGGTTATCAAGAGGCCGCCGTCGGAAAACGTTTCCAGCCTTCGTTCATTCTTGGGGTCACTGCAACTCTATGGCAAGTTTCTCCACAACTTGGCTACTCTGACGGAGCCTCTCTACCGACTGGCCAAGAAGGATATACCATGGAAATGGGGCGCTAATGAACAAGCTGCTTTTCAGCAGCTGAAAAATGTACATTGCACGGATACAGTGCTGGCCTATTTTGACCCATCCCTGCCGATTGGAATGTCATGCGATGCATCGGGAGGTTGGTATTGAAGCAGTGTTGCTTCAGGGCTATCGTGGCGGCAGTGAGCGCCCAATCGCTAACGTATCCAAGACATTAACAGAGACTCAGTGCCCCTATAGCCAAGTTCAAAAAGAGGCATTAGCTGCCATTTTTGCGCTAAAGAAGTTTCACCAGTTTTTGTATGGTCGAACATTTATTTTGGTTACAGATCATAAACTATTGCTAGTGCTGTTCGGGCCAACCAAAGAGACGCCAATGCTAGCGGCCAATCGTTTGGCTCAAAGGGCTTTGATGCTTAGCGAGTACGATTACCCTATTGACTACAGAAAAACGTCGGACCACGGGAACGCAGATGCACGCAGTCGCCCGCCAGTGGGACCTGTCGTCAACTTTGATGGGGGGAAAGTGAGGCAGATGTTGGCACTGTCTGCACTATCAAATCTGTGAGTCTACAACAACAAACAACCAACTGATTCTGGTGTCGTGGCAAAGCAATCAGGCAACGATTCTGTAATCGCAACAGTGATGCGCCATACCCGTGAGGGATGGCCAGCAGACGATTCACGTTCTAATGTGGAGAAGAACCATG